AGAATAAAACAAAAATCTATGCCTGGGAATGTTACATTTATACCCAGAATAAAACAAAAATTTATGCCTGGTAATGTTACATTTATACCCAGAATAAAAAAAATCTATGCCTGGCAATGTTACATTTATACCTAGAATAAAAATAAATCTATGCCTGGCAATGTAACATTTATACCCGGAATAAAAATAAATCTATGCCTGGCAATGTTACATTTATACCCAGAATAAAAAAAAATCTATGCCTGGCAATGTTAAATTTATACCCAAAATAAAAATAAATCTATGCCTGGCAATGTTACATGTATACCCGGAATAAAAATTAAATCTATGCCTGGCAATGTTACATTTATACCCAGAATAAAACAAAAATCTATGCCTGGTAATGTTACATTTATACCCAGAATAAAAAAAATCTATGCCTGGCAATGTTACATTTATACCCAGAATAAAAAAAAATCTATGCCTGGCAATGTAACATTTATACCCGGAATAAAAATAAATCTATGCCTGGCAATGTTACATTTATACCATGAATAAAAGAAAAATCTATGCCTGGCAATGTTACGTTTTACACGTGATAGTGTTACGTTTTACACCTAACAGTGTTACGTTTTACACTTGACAGTGTTACGTTTTACACTTGACAGTGAAACGTTTTACACTTGACAGTGTTATGTTTTCACTTGACAATGTTGCGTTTTACACTTGAGAGTGTTACGTTTTACACTTGACAGTGTTACGTTTTACACTTGACAGTGTTACGATTTACACTTGACAGTGTTACGTTTTACACTTGAAAATGTTACGTTTTACACCTAACAGTGTTACGTTTTACACTTGACAGATATACGTTTTACATATGACAGTGTTTCGTTTTACACTTGACCATGCTACGTTTTACACTTGACAGTGGTACGTTTTACACTTGACAGTGGTACGTTTTACACTTGACAGTGTTACGCATTACACTTGACAGTGTTACGTTTTACACTTGACAGTGTTACGTTTTACATTTGACAGTGTTATGTTTTACACTTGACAGTGTTATGTTTTCACTTGACAGTGTTACGTTTTACATTTGACAGTGTTACGTTTAACACTTGACAGTGTTTCGTTTAACACTTGACAGTGTTACGTTTTACACTTGACAGTGTTACGTTTTACACTTGACAGTGTTACGTTTTACATTTGACAGTGGTACGTTTTACACTTGACAATGTTGCGTTTTACACTTGACAGTGTTACGTTTTACATTTGACAGTGTTACGTTTTACACTTGACAGTGTTACGTTTTACACTTGACAGTGGTACGTTTTACACTTGACAGTGTTACGCATTACACTTGACAGTGTTACGTCTTAACAGTATTACGTTTTACATTGACAATGTTACGTTTTACATTTGACAGTGTTACATTTTACATTTGACAGTGTTACGTTTTACATTTGACAGTGTTACGTTTTACACTTGACAGTGTTACGTTTTACATTTGACAGTGGTACGTTTTACACTTGACAGTGTTACGTTTTACACTTGACAGTGTTACGTTTTACATTTGACAGTGTTACGTTTTACACTTGACAGTGTTACGTTTTACATTTGACAGTGTTACGTTTTACACTTGACAGTGTTACGTTTTACATTTGACAGTGTTACGTTTTACACTTGACAGTGTTACGTTTTACATTTGACAGTGTTACGTTTTACACTTGACAGTGTTACGTTTTACATTTGACAGTGTTACGTTTTACACTTGACAGTGTTACGTTTTACATTTGACAGTGTTACGTTTTACACTTGACAGTGTTACGTTTTACATTTGACAGTGTTACGTTTTACACTTGACAGTGTTACGTTTTACATTTGACAGTGTTACGTTTTACACTTGACAGTGTTACGTTTTACATTTGACAGTGTTACGTTTTACACTTGACAGTGTTACGTTTTACATTTGACAGTGTTACGTTTTACACTTGACAGTGTTACGTTTTACATTTGACAGTGTTACGTTTTACACTTGACAGTGTTACGTTTTACATTTGACAGTGTTACGTTTTACACTTGACAGTGTTACGTTTTACATTTGACAGTGTTACGTTTAACACTTGCCAGTGTTACGTTTAACACTTGACAGTGTTACATTTTACACTTGTCAGTGTTACGTTTTACACTTGACAGTGTTACGTTTTACATTTGACAGTGTTACGTTTTACATTTGACAGAGTTACGTTTTACATTTGATAGTGTAACGTTTTGTCAACCAGCATTGTTACTGTTTATAATCGGAATGTTCTGAAATGCCATGTTTATAGTTTGTTAATTTGATTTTTTTGCCCAAAATGTTTTTTTTTTACCCGCAAATGCTTCTCATAGCCTGCAATGCTACATCGTAAAGTTTAAAATAACAGTAATATTACCTGATTAAATTTATCTGAGGTTTTTCATTGTGCACTCGGCAATATTTCTGTTTAGTCAATCAGTGTTACCAATTAGCAAGTTTAAGATCGCAAAGTACGAATCAGTAATTCTATATTTACTTAATTAGAATTGGTAATAATGTTAAGCGTCTCCTCGGCAAGTATCAACTGATAGGTAAGGTATCGTGGTCTATGCACGCCACGGTGTAGGTATCGTGATGGTAGGTATCCAGTGACCTCCACGGTGTAGGTATCGTGATGGTAGGTATCCAGTGACCTCCACGGTGTAGGTATCGTGATGGTAGGTATCCAGTGACCTCCACGGTGTAGGTATCGTGATGGTAGGTATCCAGTGACCTCCACGGTGTAGGTATCGTGATGGTAGGTATCCAGTGACCTCCACGGTGTAGGTATCGTGATGGTAGGTATCCAGTGACCTCCACGGTGTAGGTATCGTGATGGTAGGTATCCAGTGACCTCCACGGTGTAGGTATCGTGATGGTAGGTATCCAGTGACCTCCACGGTGTAGGTATCGTGATGGTAGGTATCCAGTGACCTCCACGGTGTAGGTATCGTGATGGTAGGTATCCAGTGACCTCCACGGTGTAGGTATCGTGATGGTAGGTATCCAGTGACCTCCACGGTGTAGGTATCGTGATGGTAGGTATCCAGTGACCTCCACGGTGTAGGTATCGTGATGGTAGGTATCCAGTGACCTCCACGGTGTAGGTATCGTGATGGTAGGTATCCAGTGACCTCCACGGTGTAGGTATCGTGATGGTAGGTATCCAGTGACCTCCACGGTGTAGGTATCGTGATGGTAGGTATCCAGTGACCTCCACGGTGTAGGTATCGTGATGGTAGGTATCCAGTGACCTCCACGGTGTAGGTATCGTGATGGTAGGTATCCAGTGACCTCCACGGTGTAGGTATCGTGATGGTAGGTATCCAGTGACCTCCACGGTGTAGGTATCGTGATGGTAGGTATCCAGTGACCTAAGCGTGATATTATAATCATTGACAGGTAATGGTAAAGATAATTGGGACTCACCCTCATGGGAAACACTGATCACCATTAGTAGATATATAATGTTAATATGACAAATCACCACGACCTATAGGTGATGTCGACACTACTTAGTTCTGTAGAGAGCGGCAAAACCTTCACTAATCCTTTTCCTAAAATAGATCATTATCAACACTGCTATTCAAATACAATGTATCATTTCGTGGTAGTATGTTTTATTCATTAACATCAAATCAGATGGGCATCTAAATGCAATGAAGAACAGAAAGTAATTGATATTATCATGTTCAAAAGTATTTCCATTTTCGCCTGATTCATGTAGGTAAATTTTTAACTTACTTAATTTCAGGCTAGAGTCAATGAAATACCGATTATCGATTGAATATGTAGGCTTAATACGTGGAATAAACTGTGTTGAAGGGAAGCGGATCTTTATAGACCTGACCTACTACGAAACGCGCTATCGACATACATAATAAATGAATAAATACTCATTTCATAACATAATTCGGGAAAAAGTTTTACTGCTTATTAAAATGAATATAACATTACGTATTATCAGTTATCATAAGATCTATATAAATACCTATGTGATCATTGAACTATTAGATACAGTGTATATGATATGTGTATGATAAATCTCCCTCAAAGAGTATGTACGGTAAGAGTGTGAAAAACATAGATGTCTTTATATCAGCTTTGTTCATTATATAGTGATTCTGTTGCTCAGTTAATAATTGAAACAAAATATTTATATTCCTATTGCCTATTCTCAACTGTAATATATTAGTTTTAAGTTTACGCCACAAAGAATATGTATAATACGGTGAACATAATATAGGAAACGCCACCTGTATATTGAAGATGTACCCAAGACACACACGTGGGCCCGTACCTTCAAATGTCGGTAATTGACACAGCTTGCCAAAAATGAATTACACTACACCATACTAAACTACTGCTAAAACGGAAGGAGAGGGGCATAAAGCCTTGATGATCATATGAATTTCAAACATTACAGAAGTACTGGTTTATTTCATTATATAAAAAGTGAAGTGTGTCTATTATGAACCATGCCACTGAACAAATGAGATAACTGTGGCCATCAAGGTTACGGCAAACCTCGGCGACTAAACGGTTCCCTCAACAGAGTCTACCACGTTGTATCTTGACAGATAAACCTTACACATGGGACTGGACCTTTACAATCTGGTAATAGATACAACACAGGTACAGGTCGTAAATAGATAGCACTGCATCATACAGCTGTTTCCTATATAGGATATCATGTTGTTGTAACTAAGGCGAAACTAATAGATAAAGTCACATGGCTATATTCACTTTTATATATACTATCTTATATGTTCTACAGGGAATATTATAATAAAAACCACGCATCTATTGTATAATTATGGTTGTAATAAAGCGTTATTTCGATATTTGTTTTTATCTTACGATGTCATGCATTGTATTGATGAATATAAGAAGAAAGGACGGTATTAAGTTTGAGATATTCAACTGTTTTACTGAGATATGTAAAAATGAAAATATTTACTTTTTGAACACCAGTAGACCAGTGGCAGCCATGTCCTCCCCAAGGATCAGCCAGCTCTGTTTCACAAGGCGCACTTGTTCCGACGTAAGATAGTTCTCTAGTTGTTGGGATGAGCGCTGCATCCTCACACTTCCAGACTGACTGCAACCCATTTTCACAAGGAATCCAGAATATTTAAAATTTACAACAGTATAAAGTTGTACTCAAATGCACATAAAAGGAACGTCGCACGACTGTGTCACTTCATCAATTGTAGAGTCGTTGCTGTAACTGACACAACTACACCGAACACCGCCAGAACGATGGGTGGTAAGTAATTATAGTACGTCCGCGCTATATTTGATTCCTCGACTTATATACTTGGCGTAACGATACTATCGATTTATAAACTTGTTTGTGTCAATAGTCTGTTTTATGACAAGTAACACACTAAAGGTAGATATATGATTATGCCACTAATTATAGAAGTGCATTGCTGTCACTCCGCAAAAGATTCCTTTTGAAAACTAGTTTTCAACTTTGTGTCAAAATCACGTACGATTCCAAGCAGTTTAATAAATGTAAGAGCAGACCATTTATAATCCTCGTAAAATGTTTCAAAGCGTTTCCTTTTTAAACCTAAATCATCAAAATTTAAGTCTGATTTAAAGCAAACGTATCGTGGAGCTAAAGCACAGTAGATCAAGTACTCAGTACCAGTGTAAGCGTGAGATATGCCAGGACTGTCGTCAATACGTGATGGACTTCCGTCTTGTGCGTGAGGCCTGAAAATAAATTATTAGTTGCTGATCCATTCGTTTCTCAATGTATGCATTTATATCTGTGTTAATGCCGCCATTAAAAGTTCCGATTTATAGCATACGTAGTTATAGTTAAAAGTAGCATACTAGTGTTATAACACCAGTAAAGAGTCTGGTGACACGAAGGCCTTAGTCTACACGCTCGCAAACATATACACAGACAGCTGGATTTCTCAGAATAACTAGATGTTCGATGGCTGATCTGACAGTAAGTGGAGGGAAGGTCGCAGCCGTTCGCTGAAGGGAGTCCTTTATCTGTATGATTACTGGAAAAAAAGGAAACAAAACAGGAAGATTACGAACGGTTTGTAGCGTTTATAAAGAAACAAAAGAAATGGCACTGCTTAATTACTTTCTACTCTTTAGATATTTTATGTTAGCTGTCCTTTTTGATTATGCTGTCTGGAAAATGTAAACAAAAAAGGAAAATTACGAAACGGTTGTAGTGTATGAAGAAACATTCTTTTGTCACTGCTAAATCGCATTTTTTTTCCAGGTATTTGGTGTCAGTTCCATCTAGCGTCGTATTGTGTCACACACTATAGCGTATAGTTTATGCATATACGCACGCTATTCTAGTTTTTCTGTGAACATGTAAACAAAACAGCTCTTGTGATCAACTTCAAATAAAAAATATGTTTTGATAATGACAAGCCAAGACACGTCACGTCATTGTGCGGCATTATTTCTGTGAAGTGAGAAATAAACCCGCGCCAACATTACTAGGTATTGCGTGACCAGTTCTAAATCCTGACATTGCTAAGTAACAATGAAGATTATCTTAATTTCAAGTAATTAGCAGAAACTTTTGAGATAAATATAAACAAGAAGTCCATTTGAATAAAAAACAATGAAACGGCAGTTTCACATAAAAAAGGCGTGAAATGATCGTGTTATTCAAAGTGTGATACAATTTCGAGTAGATAACATTCTCCATCCCTTTTAATAGTAGTATGAGCATGCGATTTCGACATAATCATGCTGTAATGCATATCTTTTTTTTTTTTACGACACCGTTATAGAAAAAAAAATGAATACATCATTCTGCTCGGTGGAAAAGAAGTAGGACAAATAACGAAATGTATGTTGATCTTCCCTATTTTTCCTTAAAAATAAAAGTACGTACAAATGATTACTCAGATGTGTTTATTATTTCGTGTAATTTGAAGAACATGCGATTTATGACATTAATTCAAAATCATTTCAACGACCAACCCGTGAAAGATGCGAAAATATACACACATTATCCACTGGATGTGTCTCTAACAAGAAAATATATAAAACCCAGAGCATTCATGTTAACATCAATTACGAAAGTTGAGGAATCATGTAAAATGTTTAGATACAATAATATGGCAATCATCTATTAAACTTCGCAGACTAAGATATTGTTGCATTTTTAAACACAAGTGCAAAAATTGAGGACACGATCCTAATTAGATATACTTACCCAACATACAGTGATGACGTTTGATGACGCGGTCCTATATTGATATGGCTACCTGGCATGAATGATGACGTTTGATGACGCGGTTCTATTGTAATATGGTCACGCTGCATAAGTGTTGACGTTTCATGGCGCAGTTGTTTTATTGCTGAGTTGCAATGTTTAAATAATAACGGCAGATGTCAGTTGTCAACCCCTATATGGGCAAAGATGAATTTATGTTTTCCTTGCATAGAATGGGCATGAACCTTTTATGTGCAGCAAAAAGTACAGTTTGTCTTCTTTTTTATTCTATTTCTGTTCCTGTGGTCGAAAGTTTAAGGAACGACTTATACTGTAAATTACAAAACAAACAAAAATGAATAATGAATATTGGTTAAATATTTTGTATATGAGCTCATGGACAAGGAAAGAAAAATAACTAGGAGAGACTGCAGTATGTGTGATGTATATAATAACTAGTTTAACAAAATAAATTGATGATAACTATGGCGATAAGAGTGCTACAAATATTACAATACCTAAAGATTATATTTACAGATAATGTGTAAATCTGGTAGATTTTGACACATACGGAGTGTACCTGTAATCAATAACAACATAGCAAATATTGATATACAGGGATGCTCAAATAATGAAACTATTCATTAGAAACTAATTAAGAATGTCAAGCATACTGCTATCAGCAGCTGTCTCAAAGCTGACACTGTCGTGGCCGCCTTTACCAGGAGGACGAAACACAATACATCAGAGGACAGCGTCATTTGGTATTCACAAATTCCATATTTGACTCTATGATCACCTAGGCGTATGCAAAAATAAAGTGAACAAACGGCATCTGTTCAACCTAGTATCGCCTTTAACAACATATTGTTACATGGGTCTAAGCCTTACCCTTTAGTAAGCAACGTAAGCCACAGCCTTCAGTAAGCAACGTTCATTAGCGATCACTAGATGGAACGTTCATGGACTTGACCGCATCATAGAGTCTTAGATACAAATATTTATCGGAAAATATGTATCAGACATAAAAATAGGACTACTGGTCCATCACTAATGTACCTACATCTTTGTATGTCCGTTAATTTGAATAATTTACCTTTGCGTTCTGTTCCTTGGTCCCCACACTATCAGTTCGTCCGCAGAGCTACAGTACTTAGGCCACGTTGGTCCATGAGCCTATTACTCACACTATAACTTTATCCAGCTCCTATATGTGTCACGCGTGAACAGCATTTCGTTAACGTAGCATCAGCACAGTTCATGTGTTTTAGAACATGTTATATCTGTTTATAGGTATCCTTGTGTCCTTCTATAACATATTAAAACATAGTACCAGCTTGTATATGCTGTAGCGGGTTCGAAGCATTGACCAACATCACAACAAAAGTGCCGGTCTACGTGACCGTAGTTATAGCGTATTGAAATGTTCTATTAAATATTAATCCGACATAAGGATGAAGCTCCGCCCGGTATATTAATGAGACGGATTAACGGAACGTCGGTCTAACTACACAGTCAGGTAAACGTTAATTACTTCCTCTGTTGATCTAAATTACACTTTCATTACACTTCAAAGATGGTATAAATTCATTCTTATAGTTAACGGGACTAACGAACCTCCCCTTCAGTAGTTAAAACGAATTTTGATTTCAAACTTTTTCGGCCCCTAGCATCACCGATGAGTCCATGAAAGACAAAAAGTGTGTATGGTGAAGCGTAAATCAGTTTGGCATGATATATCTGTTAACAAAAGAGATGTTGCATGGCAGCCCACGACCGATTCAATTCTTTTTAAATTAATGAATTGGCATGAAATACACATCAAAACAGTGTTTATTCCTCGAATAGAACCCATTTAGAACATCTTCCTCCCTTGTTAAGTGGCACTTTCAATACCCTTTCCCTTGTTAAGTGGCACTTTCAATACCCTTTCCCTTGTTAAGTGGCACTTTCAATACCCTTTCCCTTGTTAAGTGGCACTTTCAATACCCTTTCCCTTGTTAAGTGGCACTTTCAATACCCTTTCCCTTGTTAAGTGGCACTTTCAATACCCTTTCCCTTGTTAAGTGGCACTTTCAATACCCTTTCCCTTGTTAAGTGGCACTTTCAATACCCTTTCCCTTGTTAAGTGGCACTTTCAATACCCTTTCCCTTGTTAAGTGGCACTTTCAATACCCTTTCCCTTGTTAAGTGGCACTTTCAATACCCTTTCCCTTGTTAAGTGGCACTTTCAATACCCTTTCCCTTGTTAAGTGGCACTTTCAATACCCTTTCCCTTGTTAAGTGGCACTTTCAATACCCTTTCCCTTGTTAAGTGGCACTTTCAATACCCTTTCCGTTGTTAAGTGGCACTTTCAATACCCTTTCCCTTGTTAAGTGGCACTTTCAATACCCTTTCCCTTGTTAAGTGGCACTTTCAATACCCTTTCCCTTGTTAAGTGGCACTTTCAATACCCTTTCCCTTGTTAAGTGGCACTTTCAATACCCTTTCCCTTGTTAAGTGGCACTTTCAATACCCTTTCCCTTGTTAAGTGGCACTTTCAATACCCTTTCCCTTGTTAAGTGGCACTTTCAATACCCTTTCCGATGGTATATAGCAATTGACCATGAGTGATGTCATTTTGTTGCAATTACATTTTTTTACTCGTTGTTTGTCATAAAACAATAACATATTAATTTTTGCATTTTTCGTTTAAGTGACAGGAAAAGCCAATAACATCAAAAGTTTTACACCAAAATATATATTTAAGTATCCATCTTTCTTGCATTTACATCTTGCAAAGATATCCCAATGGATACGCTCACTTTTTTGAAAATCTTTCCCCGTACTCCCGTATCTTTTTGCTGAATATCAAAGAACTGAACATTCGGCGTGACGACTGACGCATAATCAATGAAAGTGTATTGTACATTATTTTTCAATATTACTTCGACCAAAAACTAGTATGGGACATTCTGGGGAGATGAGAATCATTTATTTATTTGATATGAATGAGGAATGTGACTCGTGTAGACTTTAGTCGGACCTTAACAAATGGTGACAAATGTGCGATAAATGCGATACTTTCAAAATTAGCATATATATAGTTATATAACGATTTTCATGCCGTTATCTATTCATATACAGCATTTAATGATTCAAAACGTTCTGTAAAAGAAATTCTATCGATATTCTTTATCCAACATTGAAATCGAATTACTCCTGCTATTAGTATTACATCAACGGCCTGACAATACCTACCTGAATGTTACCATGTTATAAAGGCTTTTCATCAAGGTAACGGCAAGTCAGGTCCTGCGTGTGACATTAGTTTTCTAATTATTATAAAGTAAATGACATATTCACTTTTCCTTGATTTGCATACAGGCGTGAATGCTAGGGCTGGAATTTACATAGATTAAAAAGAGCTAAAATGCTTATGAAAAATATATAGTTCGTCACTACGTTCACTCATCCTGAGTGTTTAACGTATCGTTTGATATATAAATATGTGTTAAACAGATGCCTTTGCTCATCAATAGGATCCAACTTGAGTTTAGTTACCTTCAAATTCAAAAAACAGATTCATAACAATGGGTGTCAGGTAACCATGACAAACAACGGTTACATATCGTGAAACTTTCTTCTACCACACGAAAATGCCTAGTGATCAATATAATTGTTCTACAAACGACTATTTAGACGGTGTAAAAATATTTTTGATTGATAAAATTGCTAATTGATATGAAAATTCATACTGCTATATTTACTCTATTTTTAAATTATACTTTCAATTTTTAAAATCTATTTGGATTCTTCGATTACAAATTTGATGTTGAACATACAAAGCTTTTGTGATGGAAAGTAAACGATCCTTTTTTCATGCTTTATATATAAGGAAAACGTGTTTTTCATAAATACTAAAGCAAACAGCAGGAATAGAGGAACTCATGAAAATAGACAACACCATACATTAAACATAAGGAAGGATGAAAGGAACAGAGGAACGCCAAAACACGAGGAAGGACATCACGGACAGAGAAGAAATCAAAACAAAAAGAAGGACAACAGGAGAAGAGGAAACACCAAAACTTTAGAAAGGACATCACGAACAGAGAAGAAATCAAAACAAAAAGAAGGACAACAGGAGCAGAGGAAACAACAAAACATTAGAAAGAACATCACGAACAGAGAAGAAATACAAATAAAAAGAAGGACAACAGGTGCAGAGGAAAAACCAAAACATTAGAAAGGATATCACGAACAGAGAAGAAATCAAAACAAAAGAAAGGACAACAGGTACAGAGGAGATAACCAAACAAAAGGAAGGACAACAGGATGGTTGGCTGGCGCAGTGGAAAGCGCATTTGCCATTCGCCAAGGCGGCCGGGGTTCGATAACGGTTGTAAAATAGAAAATAAATAAAAAATAATAGATAACAGGATAGAGAAGAGAGCGAATGAAAGGAATGAAACCATGAACAGAGGAGACATCAACACAAAAGGAAGTACAACAGAAACAGATGAGACACAACAACAAAAGAAAGGCAACTGGAACAGATGAGACACAAAATAAAAAGAAAGTAAACTTGTAAGAGAAAAGACCAAGCTCCATCATGGAATTTCTTTTTTAGTCTGAGGAAATAAATATGAAAAAGAAAATAGCGGAAAATATTAAATATAATTGCGATAAGTATTATTACATAAAATAACTAATGACATAAGCATGATTTATGTTTTTTTTAATGATATTAAGTTGTAAATGTTTATAATATTAAAGTAAAAAATATAATTAAATGATAGAAGCAATGTATGTTTGTTTCTCGCGGAAGTATTTATAACCTATAGTAACTATCACAGTAAGTGTCACATCATTTCCGGACTTTACGGGTAATATGATGACTGAAATGTCAACTTGAACTAAAATTGAAGTTGTCTTTATTCAGTACTAATATACAAACATCACCTGCTGAGATAGGAGTTTAAATACACCAACATTGTTTCGCTATTCTAGGGCCTGTCCGGGGTATCCGTTTCTGTTGTAAATGGGTA